GGGGGGGGGGAAGAGGGGAAGAGACGAATGTTCAACATCTGGTGGAATAGATCATTGCTGGCCCAAGCGTTGGCCAGCTGTGACCCCAAACGTCCGTCCTGCCGTCTGCTGACTGCCGCTGATCCGTGAGCTGCAGCCTCATCTTTGGAGGTCTAAGTGCGGATGTGACAACATGCTGCAGTGTGATTGGTGAAATGCCGGTTGGAGGTTTGAAGGACGGTTGCAGTGCAAGAAGCGCAGCAGCTATTCTGGATAAGATCGCATCAAACTTTAATGATCCGGAGGATGAAACTGGGTCACGACAGCTAAAAGAGATTTGGATGTAGATACGGTGATAACGCAGCAAATGGAGCGTGTTGACAATAAAACAACCTATAAAAGCTGATGTTTAGGATATGGATGGAACCTTATATGCAGCCGCAAGCAACGACTTTGAGGCTAATCGAAATACATTGTATTTCCAACCCTCCTTCTCACACTGCAGTGTCCTTTTATTGACAGTTAATACTTTCCTAAAAAAGATGCTATATTGACCGTAAATTAAAAGGTAAGGCAGTAAAGCTCAGCGCGTTTGTGGTTTAAGATGAGAATAAAAGTAAAATAATAAAGTATAGAGAATAAAGTATCAGGTTTCTATCAGTGCAATGGGCGCAACAGTGATTTTAAGTAGCATTAGGGCATTGATACAGCTTTACATGAATAAATAAAGTGAATAGCATTCATAAAGTTACAGTTTACATGGAAAGCTGTGGACATTAATTGACAATATGAAAATAATTCTATATCTAGGGAGAACAGATCTATGCACATATCTGCACATGGAACTTTACATTTCTGATTCAAATCATTGTTGTCTATTATTTTATATATAGTCATTTTAAAACAAATGAAATATATTTCATAGTTAAGTTACTGGTCGGTCTCCATGGGCTGTATAATAATGGAACTGAAAGAAAAGTGGTTTCAGTGGCCCATGATTCAGCAAATTTCAATCTGAAAAAAGACTTGAATACTTTGCTAAATACTAATTTTCATGGTTTAAAAACAGCAGACTGAATATCAGCAGCTTCCTTCAAACAGCGGTTGCATCAGCTTCCTTAAAAAGCCACGTTACCTGGCAGGGAAGCGAGGGCTCTCTCGGCCGTCTGCCGCAGCGTTTCTCCGTCCTGCCACCGTGTCTGAGGCAGCAGCCACAGCTTCCCCTCGCCGACCTGCTGCTCGGCCAGGAGGAACAGCGAGTCGGCCAGGCAGCGCTCCAACGAGGTCAAGTCCTCATCTGCATCAGCTAAACAAGAGACGGGAACGTCAGCCGCCACTCACCGGCATCGACTCTCTTGCTACTGTACGGCAAACTTTGACACAAACTTTGGAAATGTCAACTAGGAATAAAATGCAAATTGGGAGTGCTGGAGCGAATAGATTTCCTGAATGTCAATAAAAAAAAAGTTGAATCTTGCACTGAAAGTAACACAAGTCTCTTTCCTCCCTGGTAATTTCCTTTAAACCCACATGTGTGCGACACCTTCAGATTATTTCAATTTCTTTTCCATTCTGTTTCACTTGATTAATGATTGGAGCGAGGCAAAAGACTGAATACTGTCAGATACTTTTGTAATACATTAAGTGCCAGTGTGTTGCATTTCTGGAGAAGTATTAGCAGAGATGGAATATCATACTCATAACTATGTTTTCATTAGTGAATAATCACCTGCAACTACTAATTGTTGCGTTTTTGTTAGCTTAGAAAACGCCATTTATATCTACTTAAGGAGCAGGTCCTCTTCCACGAAGTCCGCCATGTTTCTACAGTAGCCCAGAAGGGACAAACCAAACCCTGGCTCACCGTAGTTCTCTTAAACGCTTGGTATTCAGCTGGTTGCAATCTGCAACCACACCTCTAGATGCCCCCAAATCTTGCACACTGTCCCTTTAAGTAGATTTTCATACCGCATACATTCCCGTATACTTGTTCACCCCACTAGACAAACAGTTCGTCCCATTTTTCCCCATGCTGACCTGTGACCCTTGGCGTTGGCTGGAAGCTCTTCAGCTTCTGCTCCCAGGAGTCTTCCAGGTCCTGAGCCAACACGATCTCCTGGTCCCCGAGGTCGTCGTCCTCATCCGAGTCGTAGTCGTCCGCCTGCTTGCGACTCATCCTCTCAGCGTCCTCCAGCAGCCGCAGCTCGTGGTCCGACAGCAAGCTTTTCTCCAGCTCCATCTGAAAATCAAGTCGGAGCAGGTCTCCATCTCAAATTCAAGGACCCTTCGCATGCCTCTATTTTACTGGGCCGATTAGGAAATCTTGGCTGGGTGTCATCTGATGAAGAGAGCAATGGATCTGTCATCTACCTCATATCCTTCTGCAGCTAAACGTTACTCTACTGCTGATGTCACAATAAGTTAATCACAATAATCCTAAATGACTTATACATACTGCAATAATGTGAAAATAGTGTTTTTTAAATAAACCATTAATTTGCTTCAGATCCCAATTTGATTAACTCAGGCAACAGAATTATTACAATGTTTTTTTTCAGGGTATGATACTAATAAACGGAATCAAATAAAGAAAGATTCTAAGCCTGAATTTAAGTATTTGGTTGAACGTGTGCCCTCTCCCCCTCTTGACTGGACAGTTTCAACAATTGTATGTGCTGGAAATTACAGCTTTATCATTCATGGAGGGGGAGAAATACAAGCACAGACAGGATTCACTGATCATAGCACGTTATTTCAAAATATGAATTGATTCCATAAACTGAACATACTGTTAGATCATCTTATTTACAGTATGCTGACTTCAAGAGCCTCGCCACAAGATTAGAGAGAGTTCTAAATTAAATGTCAATTTGTTAAATACAAGCGGGTGTTACCCAGAATTCTGAGATCCAGTAGACCTAATTGGGAATCACATTTGCCACCGCATGTATTTTTTTTATCATGGTCACATGCTGCATTTGGAAATATTTTTTGCCAAAATTGGTGCCTCAACAGTATTTGGATGGTAAACATGGTCACGTGCTGTACGGCATAGATAACTCATCATCATTTCACGGTCTACACCTGTGTGTCGTGCTGAACAAACGCACCTGGCGCATCATCTGTCTGAACTGCTGCTCTATCGGGGTGCAGTCCGCTGAAATGACCGGAAACCTTTGCAGACACACGGCTGCCATCAAAGTCCACGGAGAACGAGCTCTTTCCGTCACACTTTGGGTCGTTAAAGTCGCCCGACAAACAGAAGTGCTGGAAAACGGACGAAACCCCGCGTTCCTGACCGCTGTCCTGCTAAAGCAAGACAGAACCTGTAAGAGAGACCGACTGGCCATCCTTCTACAGGGCGCAGCCATCTTTTTTTGCTACTTTAATGTCGATCCAAAAGAATCCTAATCCTGGAAACTGCTTAGGAAAACAAGCCTGGGGTTATAGATGTCGGAAGGAGGGGTTTTCAACCACGTTGTTACCTGTGGTTGCAACAATTACCACCAATTCCCAATTCTAAGTGTTCTCCTTTCGGTTCTCTAAAGCTTAAGTCAGAATGATTGTAACTTGAAGGGATCAAGTAGGTGTTCACAAGAGTAGTTTTATATTTACGACGGTTTATGAGGCAGTGAAGGCAGCATATTTCTACTTCTACCCACAATTCCATGCAGCAAGACGAACGGTCTATTCCGATAAAAGCGAAGGGGGGAGACTGATATTGATATACTTTTTAAAAACAAACATTTCATTCTACGTATTACGGATATATATTTTAATACTCATAAGATACGTATTGTCCAATCCACTTTACAAATGGTACATGTATTTATCGTGTAATAATAACGTATATAGTGTAATAATGACCTTGCCCCCCCCCCCCCTCAAAAAACATTGTTAGCCCAGGTCTGGTCAGGCCTTCAATGTCACATTTGTTGTGTGTGAAGTAGCTAAGTTTCTGAAAGCGTAATTGTATCTTAAAGTATTAAACATGTATAAATTAAATTGTACATTCGTTAGTTATTTGAGTAACGTGTGCCAACAGCTGTCTGCCTCCCTAAATGCAAGTGGAAGCTCTCTGAATGTGTTCTATGGGTATGTTTTACTAGCATCATTGTTAGCTGACGGCTAACAGTTAGTTCTGATGAAGTCAGTCTGCTGCATGCTGAATGTTATGTAGCAATGGGTTTTTCGTACAACATTGTACTTAATGTCCGGGTGGCACTTGTTTTGATCGTAGCAGTCAATAGTTTTGAGCTGATTGACAAGCCACACTGGTTTAGGACGATGGTGCTAATGCGATTTTGTGTTTACAGTTGTGGAAGCATTGGCTTGCAGCGAACACTGTGTACCAGTGGAGTCAGACTTCAGGAGACTGCAGCATCCATCACAGACTCTGGGAAAACCTCCAAAGAGTTCAGGTCAGACAACGCCACACCTGCTCATGTTCGTCTACTGAGAGAATAATTCTGGATTAATTCTTGTATTTTCCCCTTTTAATGTATGTGTTTGTTTACTGCATGTTGATGTGATATTGACCTCAATTTGAATCCTCCAGCCATTTTCCTCCAATGATTGGCCAGGAGAGTTCACTGAGATGGGGTGGAAAGAAGTTTGAGGAGTTACCAATCGCTCACATTAAAGCCACATACAACAAGTAAGTGGAATCTGCAAAAGTGACAACAAAACAGTGATTCACTAAGATCATTTTCATCCTCAAATCAGTTAGGATAGGTAAGGTTGCTGGATCCCAAATTGTACTAGTGGGAAGAAATATGAACATAAAACTGGGTAGATCCTTTTTACAGCAGATGTACTGACTTGCTGGAACATCATTGACGTTATTAGTTCCACCTTTTCTTTCTGCTATGACAAGTCAAACATTCATATTTTTTTTCTGTAAAGAAACAATCTCTGAATGTTAATCTCCAAACTAGCCTTTTATTTTACCATCTTCAAATTTCTGCAAACCAGAAGTTCAGTTTTATTAGTTCTTCCTGGTGGACTGAGTGAACACATTTGTAGCTTCATGCCACAGAAAAGGTCCTTAGCCCTAATTAGACAATGTATGGTTTATTTATTTTTTTTAAATGCTAATAAAAATCGAGTCGAATGCCAGCGAAGTAAACAGTCCTGTCCTATCCTGCACCAGCACACACATCCAGCTGACGGAGAGCACGGGACAGTCGCTGGTCCGGACGTCCTGCGGAACAGAGGGCTTCAAGAATATCAAGAAGTCGACGCCCATCGCTGCTCAGACTGCGGGCATCTCTGCTGCTGCGGTACGTTTCCCATGTGGTACTCTGACGCCCCGGAACTTGCGGGCGCACACACACACACACACACCATCTGATCATATACTGTAGGGGTTCACCTCCTCCACCTGTTTGAGCTCGTTTCAACAGGATCTGAGGGAGTTTTAACTACTGAGCTAAACTCCATAATCATTAGTCTATCTACAGCACACAAGCTGAAGGGATTTTTCAAGCTGCTTTATAATAAAGTGAGTTGTAGCGTTTAGAGCATCATTATAACTGTAATTTATGATGAATATTAAACGTTTGTTGCAGGTATGCTGCCCTCACTGAGGAGTGTGTTAAGCGCTCATTTAGACTTTCTGTTAAGCTGATTTATGAAGGCTGCTGGCTGACAGGGTTAAGGTCACACTGGTTCGCAGTGTAAACAGCGTATTATCGTGATGCTACCGTAGCTTTTACCGCATGGGCAGATTATTCTGAGCTGCTGTTTTTAAGATGTTCTCGAGCAGAAAATGGAAATATGGTGACAACATTTTAATAGGAGCTTTATCTCTTGTTTTTGTTAGTGACTGAAAGCCCAGATGGGAAATTACCAAATAGATTAGAGGTTGACCAGTCAGAAAATATTGATAAAATGCCAATGAAGAATCCCAAGGTGTTTTTGTGTGTTTGGTGTTAATGGACCGATCGTTTTAGCTCTAATCAACCATGTACCGTAACAAAATGTTGATGGTATTTATTTATTTATGTCATGTTTAAAGATGTTTTTAGCATTAAGACAATGCAGTCAAGTTAGTTTTCTAGCATTTGTGAATAGCCGAGTCAGGTTGATGGATGACATCAATCCTCTCTGCGTCTCCTCCCAACAGAAAGCCACAGCGAAGGGAGTGACATTTGTCCGAGTTGTGGTCAAAGGTCTCGGTCCTGGACGTCTGGTGAGTAGATAAAGACTCGTTTCTACTGTGCATCATTTGGCCCCCAAAACGTCTCATTCAACCGTTAAAAATCTTGAATGTTGTTACATAATACTTGATTATTTAAGTTAGTCTATCAATTATCAGAAAAAAGTGCTCGAAGGGGACATCTGTCTTGACAACAGTCCCCAAAAGTTTAATATTAAAGCAGTAAATCCTCAGTTAATTGCTTCATGGATGCTTATTTTATCAGCAAAACTGGCCTCATATTTCAAAGTTACAGGATACATGAAAGTATAAAGAGGCACAATGAGATCATGTGTGTTGGTCTAACAGTGGCAGTGCAACTCAAATAAGCCAATCGCTGCATGAAGACAGTCGTTATGTTGAGGTCATTTTAAGGCTGTTTGAGGAGCCACAGACATCTCGATTTGTCCCCATTAGCTTCGTTAATGAATGAATGTATTTTTCCTCCGTTGCTCAGTCCGCGATCAAAGGCCTGACGATGGGAGGCCTGGAGGTGATATCGATCACCGACAACACCCCCGTGCCGCACAACGGATGTCGCCCGCGCAAAGCCAGGAGGACGTGATCTCCATCAACCAGAATGCACTGCGCCGGGAGGACGCGGTTGTGTCGTAATATGCTAATAAAGGTTGTTTTTTTTGTTGTGTAACCTTGCCGGCTCTGAGCTTGAACCTTCACATAATTTCATCAGCAGAGATGATTGCAGATGGTGTTATTAATGAGCAGAGCGCAGGTGTCTCCGTCCTCTGCTGCGACTGTGGACACGCGAGTGAACCTTTCGAACCGGACCCTTGAACCCGGCCGCGTTCGAGCCGTTACCAGACCACACGCATCTGAAGTGAACACACGAAGCAAATTCAAAGGAAAGTTCTCTTTATGTTTCACTCAAAGTACAGCCAGACACATGATATAAATACAATATCGTAAAGCTCTGAAGAAAACGCTGGAAGATCAGTCCGGTACAGATCAGTCCAGTACAAGTAGAGTAGAAATGGAAACACTGAGCGAGACAAACATGCGCCAAACTCATAAAGTGGAGTGTTTGTGTTTCAACACAACCACTTCACAGTGATCATTACAACAGACTTTATAACACACTTTTCCAGACCATTGACATTCAATTTATAACTCTTTTTGCCTAAATCTTTTGGATGGCATACTTGATATTCAGCTGTAGCGCTCTTCGCACCACGTGCTAGTGTGTAGTTAGTTTTGATTTACCTTTAAAATACAAGAAAACTCTCCAGGATACTCAGAACACCATAGAGATCCTGTGACGACGTACAGTAACAGAAAACAGCACGCTGCTCTCGTTTAGTGCAAATGCTTGGAGCCTTTTCCCTTCAATACATTCAGGAGAGTAAAAAAACAAACTGATATCTTAAGTGATTTTTGCAGTAATGCGTTTCAGACACCTTCACTGAATCCAGAACTCCTCACAGCTGCTGGACTCAACATGAAGCCGTCAGTGACGATAGAAACCGGCGACCTGCTGAGCTCTTATACTGAAAGGGAACTCCATTAAAGCACAAGCTGCTGCAGTTGAACTGGGATTGATATGAACGCTTGTTAATGGGGTCTTATTTAGACACCGAGATGAGAAAACTGTTGAGAAAAGTAAAATCAAGTAAGACACACAAGTTTGTCACATGAAGCCAAAGCAGAGTTCTACTGATGTAGAGAAATGTTGCTCCTGAAGCACCCGACGTGAATCCAGACTACCGACACAAAGACTGATGTTGGTTCTCTGCACTCTCACGTGTAAGACGCTTCAATTAATAGTAACGCCTTTTTTACAAACATAACGGACATAAAGAGAAATTAGCCCTTTAAAAAAGTGATATCCGACTCCCCGCATTTGGAGTTCATACGTTATATACCAGAAACTTATACTATACATCAGTGGAGCTTGTGTAGTACGCCGTTTGTAGTGAAAAAGCCTGAGACGTTAGCAAAGTACTAAAAAAAAAAAAAGTATGACGGTTTGGTGAGGTTTTTGTCAACTCAGCATCTTATCTTCAGCAATATTCACACTAAAATACTTCCTTTTCAGATGACCCCCCCCAAACTATTTGACTGGTGGGTTCCCAGTCCTTCTGTTTACACTGTGACCTTTAGCAGGAGCAAAAGGACCCGATTGCTTCAAAAGGTGAACACGTGTAAGACAACACCAAGCTGTGGCTGACGAATGACGTTTCTAAGTACAGGATCATTCTGGAAAGCATTTGAAACAAAGCTCAACGGCAAGAACGAAACAACCGACGTGGTCCTGATGATTCACACTGCTGATGTGACTTAAAGCTCATCGACTTGAAGGGGGGAAAAAAAGGTGCGGTACTGAAAATAGAGATTTTATACACACTAACTATACAAAAATACATATTTTTTTATTTCAAAGTGCCCTGAAGTCCTTCCTTTATACAAACATCGTAACTCCGGATCAAGCAAAGACAAACGATCAAATCACTAATGTAAGATGTTGTGGACTCAAACCAACAGCTCCAGTCGCAGCTTTCCCTCATCTGTGGGTCAACTAACGTCAGCAAAACAATGACAACACTTGAGCATCAAAAGAGAGACGGTGCTGCAACACGACCACTAAACAAATAACAGTGCGGATTACATTACCGTGAATACCGTTTCCACAAGCTCGACACACGGCAGAAGAACAGCTGGAAGTTGATGAGAAAGACCGAGTCAAAGGGGGGGCTCATTTTGCTTTGGGGCTTCTCGGAGCCTTTTCAAGAGGAGTAAATATTGGTTAGCTAATGGTTTTATCAGGCTGCCTGATTCTTGGACAATGTAGTGGGGATGGTGGTGGTGGAGAGTATTAAGCATCTGGACTGGGCCACATCGCACTCTACATCACATCACATCACTCGTATTCTTTACAGCAGCAGATTTACAATTTGTAAACTGACAAAAGAGTCAACAACTGCATCGACATCAAACGACATTTCTTTCAGACTCTTCCAGACTGTCGAAGCGTTACAGTGACTGGAACACCGCCGGATACGATTGTCTGTCTAAACTCCCGCTCGATGGGTTTTAGGTGAACAAAGTGTCCTCAAAAAATATTGTTGATGCTGCCTTGACAAAGGCACTAGACCGGCGCAGACTGTCCCGGTAAACCGTGTACCGTGTTTTTGAGTGTGAGGCAGGGCAGGGGCTGGAAAAAACAACAATTTGACGACACACGAGTGCTGTTGCATTGCTGTAGTTCCAACAGCTTGAGCATTTGGTGCCTCTTAAATATTGCACTTTTGAAAAAAAAGAACCGAACGGAGATGCAGCGTGGAAGTTAGATACTAGAGAGAGAATGAGTGCTTGTGCATACTGCCCTCGGATTACGAGACATTAAGAAATTGGTTGGCACTGCCAGTTAAGTGTGGGAGTGGATTGAAGGACTGCAGGAGTGTCACAGAAGCCCCCCCGCTGAGGATAAAGCGAGGCCGTCATCACTTCCCCTGGAGGTTGCTGAACTCCATGTCCTCCTTGCGGCGTTTTTGTTGAGTGAAGAGGGAGCTGAAGGGGTAGAGTTTGGCTTTGGCTGGGTAGCGCTGGCCGGCGATGTCCACCTCGTAGTCCCCGCGGTTGATGAAGTCCGGGGTGATGGGCGTGGGGAGCCCCTCCGGGCCCGGCGGCGGAGACACGAAGCCGAGGCAGACATGGCGCTCCAGGGTGTAGCTGTAGGCGCTGCTGGTGGTCGTGCCGGCCAGCAGGCCGTTGCGGTAGATGGGCTCGCCCCACCACGGCCACAGGTCCAGCTCGGTGTCGTGGTCCTCCAGAACCAGCATGACAAATCGCCGGGACACGCCGTCCTGACGCTCCTGCAGCAAGGCCTCGCGACCGAGGAAATCCGTGTCCTGGTATGAGGCGAAGAGAGAGGACAGGCGAGAATGAAGATAATGAAGTGTTCTGGGACATGGTCTACCAACAGTATACAAAGACTGCACAGTCCTGTTGGGAGCTACAGAAAACTAACTTTTTTTATTTTATACATTTTTCAAATAAACTTTAAAGACATCAATACTGCTGACGACTACACATCTGAAAGCAATCTGTGAAAGCAATTTTACACGGCGAGGTCCGGTCATTAATACTGTTCTGCAATTATTGCTGCAGCAGCACACCTGATGTTCCACTGATTCCAAAATGTGCCACCTGCTGTGCCTGCAGCTGCAGCTTGGTGACAATTTGAACAGATGTTTAAGCAAAGCAGATGGCACAGTGCCTTTTGTTATTCTGCAATCATTCTCTCATTTTCCCAACCGTTTTGAAGTAAACACTTAAATTACAGCCTAGCTGTTGTGTGCCTCTGCCAACCGGCTGCAGTTTATAAACACGGCTGTGCAAATCCTGTTGTGTGAAATTGTCATAATTAGCATATGCATTCTTGAGCCCAAAATAATGTTTTGATGTCACAGGGACCTTTGACCACCAAAATCTAAACAGTTCATTTGAGCCAAATTTGAAGAAACTCCTTCCAGTCGGTCCTGAGGTAACCCATGGGACAGGACGGGACCTTTGACTACCGAAATCAAATCAGTTCATCCTGCACAGAGGCATAAAAAGTAGTATAAAATTCAAGCTTCAATAGTAAATGTAGTTGGAAAAGTCATAGTGTGATAGTGTGATAGGCAGAGCGAGGAGTTGCTGTTGACCGAAACGCCATAATGCTCAATAAAAGGTTTCTTGTAACCCCAAAACGGGAAAGCAGAAGACAGAATCCACACCGGCAGATGACATACAGTTCGCTGAACTGGCAACAGACCTTGTCAAATTTAACCCTGAACTCTCGTCCACACTGCAGCGGGGTGGTGAAGGCGTCGAGGTCCTGACCCCAGAAGGCAAAGAACTTCTCGATGCGCAGGCTGCGCAGCGCGTAGTAGCCCGCATTGCGGATCCCGTACTTCTGACCCACCGACATCACCTCGTTGTACACGTGCAGAGCATACTGTGGAGAGCAGAGGGAATTATGATGTACCGTACGGCACGAAGCACTTTCTTAAACCTGACCTGATGCTGTGGAATGGTGACTGGATTCATATTTCCTGTGTGTGTGCGGACGTGAGCGGGACGCACCTCTATAGGTATATAGAGCATGAACCCCGGCTCTCCCGTGTGAGTCATACTCATCACTCTGATCCCATTGGCATAGCCAACGCTCATCTCCTGTAAACACGCATGCAAACACGGTTAAATACTGTTCAATGTGGGGCTAATAACAGAGTATAAACAATCGTACTGTTGGCAACACTCATAGCACCACAGGTGCAGTCTAAAGTGCTGCAGCTGCAACTATTCCAGCTCCTCAAACAATTAATATCACCGCTCTTCCTACTGCTCTCACCACAAGGATGATAATTACTCTATTGAGGTTATTGAAACTAGATTTTTGTGTCCTACCTTACAGAACATGGAGGGGAAATGGTCAGGTGTCATGGAAACATATGACAGCTCAGTCAGAACATCCATTGCACGAGGGCCAATCAGATTCAAAGCTGTGGGCAAAGAATTATAAGCACTTTAGACTTCCTGTCCTACAAAGTTCAGCCCAAGTACTGCTGAAATAACTCTTAGTAATAATACAAACAACAATTATTATTATTATTTGTATAAGCTATCCCCCTTTGAAAATGGCAAAGAATTGTTTGAGTCTGAAAATACAGAGAAGATAGTGTGTCGTGTGTTCTTTCATACTTTTTACAGAACCTGAGCTAATAATAAAAAAATAAAAAAAAGAATGTAGGCCTAGTGCGATACTGGCGCATTGCTTCCACCCTTTAATATTGTGTGGGCACTAGATGGCGACATCACTGCAAGGAAATCAACAATGGCGGCGTGCGCTTACCAGTGTACTTCCAGCTGACGTCCTCTAAGTGGAGGTGTGGGTCACTGGGCATGTGTTTCTTTATCCAAGACCAACAGTGGACCTGCTGGTCTGTCGGAGAGACGATGAAGAAGCTGCAGATGGGACAAAAATGATTTGTAAGTTGTTTTAAATGGTTCATATCCAACCGCATGTCTGAGGTACTATTGCCGAGGTGTTACAAACTTGTTCTTGCTGACGCGGACAACGCTGCAGTCGTTCTCATAGCCCCCCCTCTCATTCAGCATGCCGGTGTGGACGATATGTCCAACAGGGACATCCAGGTCGTTGGCACACAGATGTTGCAGCAGGTCCAGGGCCTGGCTGTTCTGTGACTAGGACATCAGGACAGACCACAAGGTTCTACTTAAAGTACTGCACAAAAGCGGATACATTACTCATCGATATGGAATGGAATGTCTTAATCTGCCATTTAAAAAAAAAAAAAACATGTACGGTTAGAAGTCTGAACCCACGAAGGTGGAAAGTGCAGCTGACTTACAGTCAGCTCAAACTTGGTGAAGGAAGACATGTCGATGACACACACGGCCTCTTTGCAGCATTTCACTTCTGCTCCGACGATGTCAAACCAGTCGGGCTTGTAGAAAGTCTTACTCTGGTCCAGAGACAGCAAATCTACAAACACAAACACACAGGTTGTTTTTTGTACTGAGGACGTCAGGGTAAAGAGAACGTAGTGTGTTGCGGGTGAGTATTCTGTACCTTTTCCATGAGGAACAAAGTATTTGGGCCTTTCAAAACCATGTTTCTCCATCCAGCGAGCTCCCTGGGTGTCCAGGCGGTCATACAGAGGGCTGGTCCGCAGCTGACGCCCGGTCTGAAAGTCCCAGCGCGGAACCTTTAGTTCGTAGAGCAGGGCTGGAAACAAAACACGCACACGTTGGGAGACGTCATCATACAGAAGCAGAACTACAGAACACTTCACCTTTAAGGTGTTGGAAACACTACATTAGGAATCTGTGACTTATCAGGTGGTAATTGTGTTAACAGCTCTTGGCCCAGCCCTTCTCCCTCAACATTGATGGCTCCATCGTCACCCCCTCCACCCAGGTCCGCAACCTCGGTATCATCCTCGACCCCACCCTCTCTTTCCTACCCCACGCCAACCACATCCCCAAAACTGCCTTCTTTCACCTCAGGAACATTGCACACCTCCGACCCTCCCTGTCCTGCCACCACCGAAATTCTCATCCATGCCCTCATAACCTCCAGACTCGACTACTGCAACAGCATCCTCTATGGTTCTCCCAATAAAATCCTCAATGAACTCCAATATGTTCAGAACTCTGCCGCCCGACTGCTCACTTCCACCCGCCGCTATGAACACATCACCCCGGTCCTTCGCAACCTTCACTGGCTCCCGGTCAAATACAGAATAGACTTCAAAATACTACTCACCACTTACAAAGCCCTAAACAACCTGGCCGCTCCCTACCTTTCAGACCTCCTCCCCTTCCACGCCCAAACCCGTTGCCTCAGGTCCGCCGGTGCAAACACTCTGAAGACCATCAGGACCAAGCGCCGGACCTGGGGTGACAGGGCCTTCTCAGCTGCTGCACCTCCCCTCTGGAACGCCCTCTCCATCCACATCCATGAGGCTCCCTCCCTATCATCATTCAAACAAGCCCTCAAAACCCACCTCTTCAACCTCGCCTTCACCTGCTAACCCCTGCACCCTACCCTCCACTACATGACCCATTCAGCACAGCTTCTCCAGTTATTCTTTTTTTTTTTTTTTTTGTTTGTTCTGTTTGTCTCTGCCTTGTAAAGCATCTTTGGGTATTTTGAAAAGCGCTATAGAAAATTGATATATTATTATTAATCATACAATGTGGTACTTTATTTTTATCACCCTCACCCTCAATGTATGCTGCCGTTAACCAGTCGCAATGGAAACGTAGGCAGTAGTTTTCTGTGTGTTTCTTTGGTTAAAAGATATCTTTAATCTCAGACGACATGTACATTAAAATAGCTATCAGTTGATGTAATCGTTCCTTCTCTCAAAATCAAAGAGATTTTGTACCAGAGAACTTTGGAAGGTACCAACTTGTTCTGTCGGAACTAGACATATTATCCTCAGCTGCACTTTAGATTTATTTTTAGCACAGGACAAGGACGGTGGATTTTGTCTTTCATCGCTTACGCTGGAATCTTCCTCGGAACGGATCTCTTCGTTACCACGCAACGGTTGTTTTAAGACTCGCCAAACATCGACACGGCAACAAGAGTTCGCTACTCACGCATGACCTCCATTACTCGGTGTCGCAGGAAGGTTCGGCTGCTCTGCAGGTTGCCGAAGCGTTTAATGTCAAGTGGCCAGACATTGGCGGTGGGGTAGCCGTAGGTCATCCACTCGGCCAGGTACCTGGATACCAAAACACACAAACAATGCCGTTTGTGCTTCATTGTGACGCAATCAAAGCATGACCAGATCGCAAAGCTCATCACTGAAACTGATAAAACAGAGGCAGAATTATTTTCTGAGTAAAAGATATTTCTGTCAGCCTCTTATATAATGTCTTCAGGTGTAGAATAAAGAGCAGTAATGTCTTCACTTGGTAATGTTAGCCTTAAAAGAACACTGTAGGCTATCCCCTAACAAATACACTTAAACCCATGCTTACTTGCCAGCTCCTCCAGCAAAGGCCAGGCCAGAGGAGTTCATCCCTGCCAGCACGTAGTAGCCAGAGACACTGGGCATCTCCCCCATGAGGCAGCGCATATCAGGGGTGAAGGACTCCGGACAGTTGACCAGCTGATGGATCTCAGCTGATTCAAGACCCGGCATTCTCCTCAGCAAGGCACTGAGCATCGGCTCTGGAAGCAGAAGACAATACGGTTTCTATACAATCTCTAAAAAGGAAATCAATATATTGCATTATTAATAAACATATTACACTTACACAAACGACATCGTGATGAAGAAAACGGTTGGCCTAAAGCTACGCCAGCTGTACTGTCAGTCTCAGTATTTCTCAGCATTTAAAGCCACATTCTCCCTAAATCCAACTGCTTCCTGCCCCGAAAGTGAAGCTGCTACTTGTCTACCTGGCCCTCTGTGAGGCTTTTCAAATTACAAATAACAAAAATAGACAAAACATACGAGTTGGCTCCAAGTTGCCTTTGCCCAACCACCAACCCACCCAAACCATCCACTATTGCAAAGACTCAACAAGCTGAAGCTCGTGCTGCGCACCCTTCTCCTCACGTTGTGCTGTAAACAATTTATGAAAGCTGACGCGGTGGGTCACATGTGGCAGCACAATGTAAAAAATGCATTGCCAGTAGAAACTAAACGATGTGATGCACTCTTGTTGGTAATCATTTGATACGACAATGCAACACATAAGATCTTAATGTTGATTTCTTGTTTTTTACAAAAGGGAAAACTCTATTCCAGTCATTACGTAAGATTCCATTCATAACAACAATTGTTGATTTGAGGTAAGCTGGTGTTCAATCCACGTGATGTATATTTATTTAAAGTACAAAATGCAAATGTTCGGCAATGTAAGATCCCCCTGAGACAGATTGGTTTGACCCTCTGCTTTGCTCCACTTCAGGGCTGACTGGTGATATACGGCCGTCTTTACGACAACCCGTCAAGCTGCATGAGGAATCTCAGATTACTAGCATAAGGCCAAGGCCAAAAGACGTGTGTGTGTGTGTGTGTGTGTGTGTGTGTGTGTGTGTGAGGTGTACTTGGAACTGACATTGCTTTCAGTTAAATTAAAAGCATTTCAAAAACTGAACTGACTCGGACAATTGTTTTTCAATCAATGAAGGAGACGTTAAATAACAATAAACTGAACACCATGACTTTAACCTCACCGAAAAACGTCCAAAATGCATTGAAAGGAAATCTGGGTTCATCAGTAAAGGAATGATGTGGGGCCACACGGGGCCGAAAAACATGCTTCCTGAAATAGAGATGCTGAGTCTGTAAAACCTGCATTTGATACTTCACAAAGATTTAAAAAGTACTCTTCACCTACAACGTTATTTGATCTTATTGGGATACAAATGCAAATGTTTAAATAAATGACTTTACTCGGATCAGTAAAGTACAAATGAGACACCCCATCGCGTCGCAAAACTTAACAATGTGTCTTGTTCCTCCCTCCCATTGCTCCCTTCATTACCGAAGTGGTCCCAGTCCTCCTGCATGTTCTGGATCTCCAGCTGGTTGCGGCCCTCGGTGAAGATGGGTTTGGGGTTCTTCTCAAAGCCCCCCGACAGAATGCCGCCCTGCCATGGCCGTGCATATATCCTGCCGTCCATATCCATCACAACTGGAGACGAGACACACGCTCGGTGAGATCAGATCCTCTATAACCGTGTAAATTATCAATCGAAACAAGGGGCCAAGTGGCTAAATGATGTCACTGTAAAGAAAGACATTGAATTCAACAAATTGACCAATAAATTGGGCACGCCTTGTATCCTCTCTCTCTCTCTCACACAAACACACTTATTCAACCTGCAGAGTCACAAGAATCAAGGGAAGTTACGTTCTGAAGTGTATTTCAACACGTTTTCCTTCTGAAACTACTAGTTAAATTGAGGTGTTGGCGGTAAAAATATTTTTCTAAGTATAATGGCGTACGATCACAGAGCAGACCTCCCCTCGTATCATTGGGTGTTAACTCTGAACGACATCTTTGAGGAGAAAACAAGGGCACAGGCTGAGAGATGATTGTTGCAATAATATACTGCGCAATGGGTTACTCTATCAGCCAATTTGCCAAAGAAAAACAATCAAAATGTGGAAGTACTTCTCTATTACAGGTGTCATATTTGGCTGTGATTTATAATCCAATAGCGGTTGTGCCTGCTGAAAGAAAAAGTGAATTTTTCTTGTATGAGACCTGGCGTGCTGGGTGAGAGTGGCTCCTGGAGAGGTTTGGTGAGGAGGTAAAAGTGTTCACAGCCATGAAGAGGAATCGACACCTTCGTCTCACTTGCCTGGCCCAGCTCGTAAGCCCACTAGAGCAGAGACAGACAGGACAAATACTGGAGACACTGCAATCTGTCGAGTCATACTGTTCCTATCTATGAGCATAATGTAGGCGAGAATCAGATCAAGATGTACACATAACTAAGGCTGAAATTGAGAATAATATCCTAAACGGTTACAAAGATTTCCCCTCATTAACTCCTTGATCTAATTTGGCATTGGGACTTGTTGGTGCTCCTACATTTCTATCCCACTCCGAGGTTTACCTGTCCAGCACAGTTGACAAAATATTCACACTCGATGGAGCCACGATCAGTCTCCACCGCCATCACTTGACCCTTCTCTACCAGCACCTGCTGAACCGTGGTTCTGTCCAGGATCTGAACCCCTGGATAGGATAAGGGAGACAAGGAGATGTAGGAGGAAGCAAACAGGAGATGAGCGTGGAGGACGGAGGGAAGGAGATGCCGATGAAGAGGAGAATCAGACGGAGAAACAGTATAGGGGTAGAATATAAGTAATGCTTGTAAGATATGTGTTATAATTGTCCATTAATGCTCTATCAATGGCAAGTTGAAAGTTCGAGTCTCTCACCATGTCCAGCAGCAGCCACAGCCAGGGCGTGGTTAACGTCGGGTGAGGACACCACAGCATCTGCAGGGAGGTGGAGCGCCCCCACCAGGTCATGAATGTTAACAAGCGGGTGGAGTTTGGCCACCTCTTTCGGCTTAATGATGTTACAGCTGATCCCCATTACCCTACGAATAAAGTGAAGGAGATAAAGATGAAGGACTGATACTCACAAATATCTATATTTAAAAGGGCACTGCATATCTAACCTGGTTCCAGACCTCTGAATCATTTGAAATATCAAATCAGAGATATAGGCAGTGTGTCATCAGCATATGAATTATTGTGAGAAATAGCGTTTGGTGCCTGTACATTGTGGCAACTTATGGGTATTGTAACTGCGTCACCATTGCATCTCTCTCTTTTTTTTTTGGGGGGGGGGCGATATATTTCTTATATCGTCGGGAGGGGACTTTCAAAATTGCACAACACTAAAGTTGCCAAAGGGTTCTCTACTAAACGTTGACCGGAGGTTTTAGGGTCTTACTTTAGTCGGGATGCCAGGCGCTTCAGAGAGAGGAAGCGATCTTGATTTTGGGCCAGACAAAGAGAGCCTGTCTTCACATAACCTGAAACACACAAAACCACATATTATGTGACAGGTATCAAACCACCCATGGTCTTCACTCAAACGCTCTACTCAAAAAAAAAAAAGGTATGAAAAAATGTTATGGAAAGGCACAACAAACGATCTCGGGCTTCCATAATAAATGTAGAATAGTGCATGCCTCGTGCAAATGTTTCTGCTGCATTACTGTAAGAATGAGTGCAAATACATACAATGCTATGAGTATGCAGTGAATGCTTGCTTCATTGTCTAAAAAGCCAGATGCACTACACGCCTCTACATCCCCTGGAGAGATAAAATTACAAATGCTCTTAACAAAATAGCTAAAGAAGATAAAGAACAGGTAGGTACCCGCATGCAAGTATTTATGGGAAGCAGTAAGGATAACATAAATTTAATATGACTGAAAGCAAAACATATCAAAGTGGCTGACCTGTTTTGACTCCGGTCTCCTCCTCCAGCTGCTGATAAAGACTATTGGAGTAGTTTGCCATTTGACACTCGATGGAAATAGGCTTGGCCACGCTCACAATGCCCGCACACAGCCTGGTTGTTCCTGCACCAAGCCTGCCAACAGAACATCAGAGACGGGTAATGCAGCATTAGCAGAACAATATCCAATCAACAACTCTTTCCACTGATCCTCTATCGCCTACTAGTGTAGAAAACTGTCTATATCCCTCCCTTAGCTTTTAAATCAAATTGTTAACCCCAACCACTAAAACCTACTACTGAAATTACAGACATGTATCTCACCTGCCCTGCTCCAGCATTACTATATCGGTCCAGCCCATCTTGGCGAGGTGGAAGGCTACTGATGACCCCGCAATGCCTCCTCCACAGATCACCACGCGGGCCTGGCTGGGCAGCGGGAGCGGCTGGGAGTCTCCGCTGACAGCCATGCAGTGCGGGGAGGTCGACAGTCCCCTGCTGGCCAATCTGTACCCCGTCGGAGGAAGCAGCAGCCTGGGGAGCAGAACAGGGGACAGAGCCCTGGAGCTCCGCACACAGCTGCACATAGCTGTGCTTTCTGCATGCAGTCACAAACAAAACGCACTCTCACATACGGCTCACGTATTCAAGAGTTTAAGGTTACTACTGTAACGTTATAAAGTAGTGACGACACTGCAAATGTTTACATGACAATGTACGTCGGTGCTGTTTTTAATTCAGTTGTAGTTTTAGGAGACTAACCTCGCGAATGCCATTTATCAAGTTGTTGTACTCAACGTTAGCTCAACTAACGCAGGTTGACATTTAACAACGTTACAGTAACGTAACATTCAACACTTTGCAACGACGACGTGGCCCCGGGAAGCCAGCAAGGTTAACTTACAATAGTCCTTCAGCTGTCACAATTATATTGCAGACTAATGTCAGTTTTAATGTTAAATGTTGCAGAAATGAATGTTGACATGTTTTATATGTCAGGTAATGACTTGGAATAAAGTTCACTAAGGAGTTGAAACACAGAGGTGGGTGATAATTCATACTGTATGCTTTATAAACAGTCAAACCTGACGGGGTCATTTTTGACCCCAGAGGACAACAGGTGTGATTATGTGCTGCCATTAGAAAAATTCAAATGATTCAAGAACAGCATCCTCACTAAACTTTGATATGTACCGCTCTGTGATAAGTCAAATAGTAAAAAATAATATAAAGTCAAAATAATTCATTGTTTCATTGTATTTTCACTCAAAAACAGGGTATACTTTTATGTAAACAAGGTCTATTGGCCCTAAATTCCAAAATGAAGGGAACGATTTGTGGTAATGTGTTGGACTGAAGTAAGACTAAAGGTGTAAAACAGAATTGATTGACAATTTATACTATATGCTTTAAAAACAGTCAAACCAGGTGGGGTCATTTTTGACCCCAGAGGACAACAGGTGTATGGCAGTCCGGAGGACAACACAAGGGTTTTAACCTTAGTTATCCATCTAGCAGCATAGCTAGCTTTAGCTACAGCACGTTAGTATCTCTGTGAATTATCTTTGAACTTTATTTTAGAGGTCACGTTAAATAGTCTTAGCTGACCTGTACATTCGTAAAGTTTCGTAGAAGTTTCTTGACATTTAGTGTTTTAAGAGATGGTTAGTTAGCTTCAGTGGTACTGGTAGCTAGCGTAACGTTACATAGCTTAGGCTATCGAATAGCTAATATTGGTTATTCGCCCCCGTAACGTCAGCTAGGTTAGCTAAACATCAACCGTGCGCTTCCTTCAATGTTTATAACTCACCGAGTCAGCCAAGTCCACACGTTATGATGTTCTGAGGACAGATATGAATACCAGAGACTGAGTGATATGACAGAAAGTCTTGTTTAGGTTCAGAAGTCAAACAATGTCAAACTAGCTTCAATCACGACTGGCACTTCCGGTCCAAACCTTCAAAATAAAACCCTTCCGCCTGTTTAATCGGGATGCAGTATTCGACGAATAAACCGTCAATCAACGTATAATCAATTTACGAGTAAAAATACATTAGTAGGCCTCCTTCGTTATCTAACCTGATTACCTTAGATAAGTTAAGGTCATTGGGGAAGCTGAAAATGTATTATGTACAGTGGTGAAATGTAACTATATGTAACGCTATTCAAGTAATGCTGCTGTAAATTTGAGGTAACGTTAATTGAGTATTTTTTATTTCCTTGACACTACTAACTACTCCACTACTTTAAGAGAAATATTGTTGGCCATTTTTTTGGCTGCAGTTATTTAACAAATCTAGTTGCTATACTTTGCAGATTCAAAATTTTACAAAATATTATCAACAAATACAATATTATATATTAGTAGATATCAAGCCACCAATTACAATTTGTCCCACTTCACCTGCTGCATTAAAGTGGCAGCCTATACGTACATTAGTCTATCAATGATTAACCATCCATTCATCCATCCCCTGGAGCCGACACCAATTGTCAGACATATTAGCCAGATATTAGCCTACACACCCTGGACAGGTCGCCAGCTAATCACAAGGCTGACACACAGAGACAGACAGCTATCCACGCTTACTTAATCATTTAAAGTAATTGTTTTGCTGCAGTGTGACTTTGCTATTTTTACTTAACAGATCGGAGTAGTCTGCTTCTTCCACTGCTGAAGAATGCTATCAAAGAAAAATTCACATGTGGTAAATATATTTCAAAATAGCATTTTTCTACCTTGCAATATGTAGTAGAATTTGCAGCTGTGCACATTCAGGACTGACCACGAGGAGGCGCCAGAAGCCCGCTGGATTATTTTACAGTGATTTTCTTAATTAGAAATATATATAATGTTAATTTCTTTTCAAGAGGAGATAGCGAGCGAGCTAGCTAGCTAGCTAGCTATAGCTATATATAGCTAGCGAGCTAGCTATATAAACTGCTATAGCTAGCAGCTATAGCAGTTTATGAGCCACATTGAAATGAATAAAGAATCTATCAGTCTGTA